ATCACTACCCTGTACTGCCTCCAAGTGAACACACAGGTAGGTTGTCCCTATGAGCTAGCGTTAGATCTTTCTACCTTGGCAAGGATCTTGTTTCCTCAGAAAAGTGCTTCTCATACATGTACTAGCAAACGTTCCATTAAAAGTTTACTCAAAGGAAGCACAGGCAGGCAAAACAGACCCTGCACAGGAGAGTTTGTAGCAGAGGCAGGTTTATGTCAGTTTAGGACAGATTGTATCTATAAACCTCAGGGTGGATGAGTTTCCCTCTCAGAATCAAGGCCTGAGCACCTGCACTGAGCAGGCCCTGTCAGAATGGCCAGGAGTCCTAAAGCACAGAGCCCCGCTATATCTTGACACACAAACTGCCCAAGCCTGCTGGATAGTTAGATCAAGTAAGTCAGACCACAATTCCAAGGCTTCCTACCTAAGCTACTGGGGGTGTCTGTAGAACACACTCAAAGCCTTTAGTACACTACATTCTAATGCTGTAGCATCCAGTACCACATGAAGGCATCTAGAAAGAACCCTGCTCTTGGTTCTGACTAGTAAAGAAATGGAAAATGCCGATCTAAGCTGAGATGAAGCTCTCAAGTGCAGAGTAAAATGAATCACAGTTGTTCCCTGGAGGCTGCTCCCATGCCTCCATTTGGGGTCAAAGATCCAGGTAAAGTCATTTCTCCTATGGAAGAACTGACCAACAGTAAAGCCAAGTCCTAGTAAGAACCAGGCCCATGATTAGCTATGACAACCAAAGGCAAACATTCACTTTCTGCTTCTCAATAGCTCTATGGATTGGGGGAGGCTGAGCTAGGGCTCATGTGGGCATACAACCCCAGTGCGTTTGCCTTCAAATCTCAACCAGAGGCAGGGCATGGAGGCACTGCATCATAAACGGGCTGGAGTGATGAACACCTGGCCAGCCATCTGCTGTACAGCTCATGTGCTTCCCTATCTCTCAGCAAGGCAGGACAATGGGGTGAGGTAGGAGTCAATGACCACCACCACCACCACCACTGAGGAGCCTGAAAGGCATCGGTTGTCAAGTGCAAGTCTAATGGACCCAAACCAAAATACACACAGCTGACTATTCCCTTCCTATTAGATGTTCCTCTTATACAAATCTTCTGCCATTCCTAGAACACCTTTTCAAGAAAACTGTCAGAGGACAATCCGTGTGACTCAGTTTTCTCCTTCCAGTATGTGCGTTCGAGATCAAGCTTGGTGGCAAGCACCTTTACCTGCTGAGCTAGCTTCTCCAGACCAATAGCCATTTCTGAAAGAAGTATTTACCCAGAAATGATCAAAATTCTTACGTTTAAGCACACTTCTCAACAAAAGATGGACCCTAAAACATCTATCTCATCACATTTAAGGCCTTGAGAAGCAACCAATGCCCCAACCACCATCTTCAGCAGCACTGGTTTCTCCACGCCAAACTGTCAACATGTTGGACATACTCAATAATAAATTTTGGTTTCTTTGTTTTGTTTTTCAAGACAGGGTTTCTCTGTGTAGCCCTGGCTTCCCTGGAACTCACTCTGAAGCCCAGGGTGGCCTTGAATTTACAGAGTTCTACCTGCCTCTGCCTCCTCTAAGTGCTAGGATTAATGGTATATGCCACCAAGGGCTAGCCTGTATCTATTTAAACAGAGAATTAAGAACATTCTTGTCTGTGCTCTAAACAAAGAACAAAGACTATTATCAGACCTAGGTTCTCTAATCATGACTAGAAACTTTTTGTTTGTTTTGTTTTTCGAGACAGGGTTTCTCTGTGGCTTTGGAGGCTGTCCTGGAACCAGGTCTTGTAGACCAGGCTTGTCTCAAACTCACAGAGATCCACCTGCCTCTGCCTCCCGAGTACTGGGATTAAAGGCATGTGCCACCAACGCTTGGCTCTAGTTTGTTTTTTCAAGGCAGGGTTTCTCTGTATTGTTTTGGAGCCTGTCCTGGAACTCACTCTGTAGACCAAGCTGGCCTTAAACTCACAGACTAGAAAATCTTATACCAATGTCCCCATCTGCACCAAGAGATAGTTCCTCTTCTATGTTGAGCCAGATTCTTGATGTAAGCACTTTGGCAGAGAATTCAACTTTCTAATGCTACAATAAAAAGGCAGTGTGGTGGTGCATGCCTTTAATCTCAGAACTTGGGAGGAAGAGGCAGGTAGATCTCTGAATACAAAGCCAGCCTGATCTACATTGTGAGTTCTAGGACACAAGAGCTATGTAGAGAGAACCTGTCTCAAATAAACAAAAAAAACCTCAGGAAATAAAAGGCAGCTGAAATCCAGACCCCACCACCTTTTTGTTCCCTTTTTTTTTTTTTTTTAGGGGAACTTAAAAAGAAGGAAATAAAATCTTAGGGGCTCGCCTCGGTGTCTACCCAGCATCTGTATTTAGTACTAACTCTGCCACTCTCCATGCTTATCACCTGTATTCAGCTTGACACATAAGCAATGTACTTTGTTCAACCTCAGGCAACAGTCAGTTATGGAACAGGGAAAGCCTGGATTCATTCTGTGTTCATTTCCCCAGCCACTCTGCAAACTGCAAGCACTGGATGAAGGTTAAAGGAGGCTCCAGGTTCCCGAAGGAGCCTGGAAAAAGCTGAAAAGAGGCGCTAAACTGACTTTGAAGAGCTAGTGAAGCTGAGTCACCACCAGCTTTAGGAAAGAGACTCTGTGGTGTTTGCATGGGTCTGATGATGTCACATTCTCTTTTGTTTATAAACAAATTTGGGTTTGAGTTTTGATTTTTGTTGGAGACAAGGTCTCACTGTATTCCCCCAGATGGATTTCTCCCGCCAACAACTGGAATTAAAAGTGTGTATCAACTCAAACCTGGCTAACAAATACGTTTTGGGGCTTTAGGGTTTGGGGGGTTGTTTGTTTGTTTTGTTTTTTGGTCTTTTGAGACAGGGTTTGGCTATCCTGGAACTCACTATGTAAACCAGGCTGGCCTTGAACTCACAGAGATCTGACTGCCTCTGCCTCAAGAGTGCTGGAATTAAAGGCATGCACCACCACTGCCCAGCTCTAAATCCTTTTGTTTGTTTGTTTGTTTAAGACGGGGTCTTTCTACATAGTCCTATCTAATCTGAAACTCACTATGTAGACCAGGCTGTCCTTGAACTTAGATCTACCTGGGTATGCCACCACTGCCTGTCAACAAATAAGTTTTTAATAAAACTCCCAAATGAATACAGGTTGGCTTGCATGAAGTGTAGAGCAAGAAGTCATTAACTGGAACCTTAATCACAAAGGGCCTTGGTGTTCTCTTTATAAAGTAACGGGAGAAATGCAAGTTTTTGTTTGTCCGGAAAGTACTTGGAGAGAAAATGGCTCTGAAGCAGCCTCTGCTGCCCTGAGAACCACTTTTGACTTCTAAGTCAATTTATACTTCAGAGACACAGGAAATGGGATAGGAGACCTATAAGCTATTTTCAATTACTAGATACTGTGGAACCATCAGAGAAATCTTAATGTCTTCAGACAGTAAGTATTGGGGACTGAGAACGGGACTAAGTAGTAAAGCACCTGCCTAGCAACAAGGCCCTGAACTGGATCACCACCACTGACTACTATGCCAGAGGATCAGCATTAAGGAAAATAAACCCAGTGCCATTGATCCTAGTCTCCTACTTCCTTCCAGTAAGCCACCATCTCCAGGAGGGAGAAAACAGAATCACCAAGCTGCTGTACAAGTTTTGAAAGTTATAAAGGAAGAGTTACATCCTCCATTACCTGAAGGAGAGCCAAGAGTGACCCCACAGATGCCTGAGCTGGCTTCATCCCTTGGTAAAGTACACACCCAACAACATACTTCCCAAAAGCCTGTAAAGGAAGGCTAGGTAAGAGGGTCTTGACCCAAGGATGACAAGGTCACCAGAGCTATAGGTACTGACAGTAGTCATTTTATCAGACTTATGGATCAGGTAGATACTGACTTTCAGAAGATCAAAGAGCTAACTATGTCTCAACATAGTAACTAAGCAGAGTGATAGGTAAAAATGAGCTTCTTTGGGACCTACAGGTTCCTGGTAACAAAATGAAAACCTCACTGCAGGTCTCAGTTCTACTGAACTGTCTTAAAGAACTTCTGAGATAATTTATCTAGGATACGGGGTGTGCACATGTGTATGTGGAGGCCAGAGGCCAACATTGGGTATCTTAGTCAATTTCTGGGAGGCTTCAACCAGTGCCTTTAAGTCCAGATCTGGTGGCTGGGGAGATGACCTAGTAAAGTGCTTCTGTGTGAGCATGAAGACCTGAGTTTAGATTAAGCTCCAGGTTCAGTAGGAGACCCTGTCTCAAAATACATGTTAGGTGCTTAATAAGCTAAAAGCACTAGCCATGCAAGCCTTACAACCTCATTGCCAATGATGGAAGGGGAGTATAAACTCCAAAGTTGTCCTGTGACCTACACACCTACACACCTACACACACACACACACACACACACACACACACACACACACAGTGTGATCTAAATGCATATACACACACAATCTTTAAAAAGTAAACAACAAAATAAGCATTAGTCTAAAAAAGTAAATAGGGTAGAGAAGCAACTGAGGAAGATACCCAGCGCTGACCTCTGGCTTACACAAATGCACACATGCACACATCCATACATGTTACATCAACTCCAGATATTGTTCCACTCTCTTAACAGAGTGAATACATAATTGTGCCCTATTTTTTCCTGAAGCTACTGATATACAAATTAAGAGTTGCAATAAGAGCCAGGTGTGATTTCACACGCTTTTAATCCCAAGGAAGCAGAAATAGGCAACTCCCTAAATTTGAAGACCAGTGCAATCTAGAAAATGAGTTCTAGGACTGTCATGGCTACACAGAGAAATGCTCAACAAGATAAAAAAACAAAAAAAGGAGCTGCAGTCAGAACTCTTAAGAGCTTTTTTATACTTCCCAAGGTTTGAGTTTTACAAGCAACAAATGGATTTCTAAGCCAGAGGCCCATCAAATAAACACCTCTCACCTGGACTGTGGGACTGTCTTGTCCACAAACAGGAAGATAGCCTTCTCAGAAGGAAGTTGGATCCTTTTCCTGATGATCCACATGAACTGAGCCACAGTGATGTCAGATGGAACCAGGTACTTCCTTTTGTCAATGTCAACAATCTGAGAGCCTGAGACTTTTTCCACAATCACCTGGAAAAGTCAAGCTATGTCAGCAGGGGAGGTTGCACTTCAGCAGAAGAGCAGCACTTGTGCAGCATGCAAGGCCTGTACTTGATTCCCAGCACTGTAACTAGACAGGGGAAGGAAAGGGAGGGAGAAGGAGCACCAGTGCACACAAGCACTGGACTGGATTACCTAATGTAAAGCTCTGCCCTCAAAGTCTGGTGAGCGGAGTGTGAGCAAGGAAATGTGTGGAAACTACACAGCATGATTAAATCCACCTGTCTTACTAAGCCACTCTCTGGCTAATAAAACTGATAAAAATCTGTTATATTTGGTCAATTACACCCCTTATCTCTGATCTCAGCATCTATAAGAAAAACACAACTGCAAAGCTTCCCAACTTTCCAACTATGAGATCTGCCTGCCTCTGCCTCTGCCTCTGCCTCCTGAGTGCTGAGATTAAAGGTGCACCCGCCACCACTGCTAGACTACTTTCCTAACATTTTATGTAGGCAAGTGAAAGATTATCTGGCCAGAGTTTCATCTGCAGTCTGTTAGCCCACTACCCCAGAAGAGATCCACACTACTAGAGTTAGAATGGATGAACTAATGCCAGTGCTCTACAGTCCCTGACACCCAAGAACCAAGGTTTTCATTAGCCTGTTGCTTCTCTGTAAACAGGTTAACATTTGTCCTCCCAATCCTCTCCTCAAAGGAACTGCTTACAAGCAAAAGAGCTACAATAATAAGACTCTGACTTTCAAAAATCAATAATGTTCTGGCGATGGTGGTGCATGCCTTTAATCTGGAGGCAGAGGCAGACAGATCTATGTGAGTTTGAGGCCTGCCTGGTCTACAGAGCTACACAGAGAAACCCTGTCTCGAAACCAAAAAAAAAAAAAAATCAATAATGATATCAGAAACCATCTCCCCAACTATGGCAGAAATATAGCATCATACTTATTATTGATTAAAGACAAAATGGTGGCGTTTCAGATTATTCAAGCAAGGATGACAGCACCAGGGTGAAGAGAAACTAGAAGTTAAAGGATCAAAATTAAAGATGAATGTCCTGAGGCTAGGGTACCCTATCCAAGACCAAGTGACAGTCTCCCTCCACCACCGTTCCCTAAAGTGGAAGTGACCTGTTGCCCTGTCCTAGAACACGGTTCCTTACATAATTGGCGAGGGAGCCTAGAGGCTGCAAGCAGCTTGCTGCCCTAGATCGGGGAAGATTCAGCACTGATGCCCCTGAACAGCACCACCCTCTTGCGCTCCAAGCTTGGGTCGGCCCCAGGCCAGCCGGTCCAGTCTCTGGCTACACTTTGAGACCTTAACTTATCAACTGTTGCACGGCCTACCGCGTCCGCCCGACACGGCTCCTAGGTGACAGAGGGGTGAGGGGACCGGGAGTCCACACTCACCGGAACTCGGTCGGGATACTTCGCTCTGATCTTGGCGGATTCCACGCATCTGTGTTCTAGGAGAGAAGTACACCGGGGTGACTGTCGCGCCTGCCTGCCTGCCAGCCAGCCAGCCGGCCCCCAGTTCCCGGAACCTCATCTTCCTGTCCGCCCTTCGCCGCCCGCAACCTGCGCAGTACGCCCCGCGTCCTCGCCCCGGATCCCTGCCCGCCGCCCCCCTCACAGACTCCCAGCATGGTCCGCAGGGGGCTACTTGGGTTCGTGGGAGGTGCCCAGGCTGGCGGGGCCTTGGCGACCCTGCGGGGTGGCCCGAGTGGGGGAGGGGCCGCGGCCCGGGGCTCTGCAAGGCCGACCGCGCTTACCCAGAGAGTGGTCCTCCTTAAACATCCACTTCATGGCGGCGGGAGGCGACGGAGCCGGCTCTCTGAGCCGCGGACTTCGGAGAAGCGACCACAACAACAACGGAGGCGGCGGCGGTGGCAGCGACGACTACTCGGCAGGCGGGACTTCCGGCTGCCAGAGCCTAGCAACCACCCGGGCGGAGCTTCCGGCGCGCCTGCTAAATGCACCGGGGGCATGAACTTACGCGAGGGGGCGGGGCCTGGGCGACCCCCTCCCCCCATAAACACCTCACACACACACACCCAGCTCGCCTGTGAACGGTGGCTGACGTATGTGGCTGAGGAGTCGGTGAGGGACCGTGGAGAATTAGTTACTGGAATGGGGTCTCTGGGTTGTGCGTGACGGGCAGGTTATGGCTCATAGCTTAGAACTCTGATAAAGGGACCTGGTAGGGGAAGTCTGGGGCCTTGGAGAGATACGAATATTAATGTTTGGCCTGGTGACAAGGCGGGAGCTCAGTATCGAGGGATAACCAGTTACAAGCACTGTGTGACAATGAGTACTGCTGACAACCTAGAGTTCTAGTATAGGAGTTTTCGCACCTAAAATTTAGTCTAAACAAATTTCATTTCCCTCTACTCACGACTACATATTTAAGCAGTCATAAACATTTATGAACAAGTATCCCGGGTATGCATTTAGTCAACCGAATATCCCCTATCACAGAGATCCTTTATCAGAAACTGTCAGAGGCTAAGTCTGACTGTCGGGCACGGAGTATTCCCTGGAGAGCTGGTCATGAGACAGCCGAGCGGATGGAGGCAGCAGTGGGAGTGGCTCGGCAATCACAGCCTGAGCCCCTGGTGTCACCTGCCTGGGCATAAGCCACGAGGTTCACCCACAGCCGAGTCATCGGAGCAACCCTCTCTGGGTCACCATCTGTTTATGCGTTGGTGAGCATGTAACACGAATATGCAGTTAATTGGGCACCTGACCACGTGCTTGTGATTCTGCTACATCTGTCAAGCCTGTGTTTGAAAGTTGTCATCCACCATTTCCTACAGTTGAAATTCCTGACAGATGCAGTGGCTATAGCTTCATTCTGAAAGCATTTTTGTTATTTTAAATTGGAGTCGATGGGTGAGACAGCTCAACAGGTAAAGGTGCTTGCTGCCAAGCCTGAAAACCTGAGTTCAACTCCCAGAACCCAAGTGGTGGAAGAAGAGAAGCTACTTTTATCCTCTGGCCTCAATGTGTGCACTGTGGCATGCCTCTGTACATGTACACACCCAGATGCACAAAAAATAATGTAAATATAAACAAAAATGTAACTTAAAAACTGAGGAACTAGGTGTTTTGTCTCTCAAAAAATGAAGTACCCTTTGAATATTATACTTAGACATCAATGTTACATACAAAAATGCTGTTCTTAGCCATGGTGGTGGTGCATGCCTTCAATCCCAGCACTTGGGAGGCAGAGGCAGGTGGATCTCTGTGAGTTCAACGCCAGCCTGGTCTACAGAGTGAGTTCCTGGACAGCCAGGGCTACATAGAGAAACCCTATCTCAAAAAATGGGGAAAAAATGTGTTCTGGAAACTGGGAGAAATCCATGAGCAAAACTGATAATGATAATTCCCATGCTGTAGCAGAGTTTGCATTCTCATAGGAAAAGACAAAAAACTAAATGTCAGGTAATGACAGGTGATATTTAGAAAACTAAAACAGTGGATGACTAGAGCATGATGTACTGGTGGGATGGAGTGGTTGTTAGACAAATTGTCATATTCTAGGAACACAAAGCACCCCTTGTGACTAGAACTAAATAAACAAAGAGGAGTATGCTAGGAGACAGATCAGAAAGACCTAGAACAAATTGGGTGGTTCTTTGAATTGCATGCAATTTGTTTTTTACCATAGTGTGATGAGAAGTGAGGTTTCTTAAGAAGCTCTGTAATTCATTCAGACTTATTTTTTTTTTATTTTCAAGACAGGTTTTTCTCTATGTAGTCCTGGCTATCTGTTGCAAGCCTTTATAATTATACTGGAACTTGCTCTGGAGACCAAGGTGGCCTCAAACTCAGAGATCCTCCTGTCTCTGCCTCCTGAGTGCCTGGACTAAAGACATTTGCCACCTCACCTGGTTCACTCAGACTTTTTAAAATCAGCCTAACCTGGAAGTGTAGTTCAGTAAAGGAGCATGTGCAGGCCTGGATTTAATTCCCTGCACAGAAAGAAAAAGAGACAGAAAAAAATCATGGGACTAGTGGTTTAGCTCAGTTGGTAGAGAACTTTGTGCATGAAGCTTTGGACTCAATCCCCAGAAACACTTAAAAGAGCTGGGTGGTGATACACATCTGTAATCGTTCCCTTTTGTTTGTTTTGTTTATCTTATTTGTGTTTTTGTCTTTTGAGACAGGGTTTCTCTGTGTAACAGCCTTGGTTGTCCCGGAACTCCCTTTGTAGATCAGGTTGGCCTTGAATTCACCCTGTTCTCCTGTAATCTCAATTCACAGGAGGTGGAGGTAGGAGAGTAGGAAATTCAAGGACACCTTCAGTTACACTTTGAGTTGGAAACCAGTCTGGTCTAGAGACCCTGTCTTAAATGTATCTATCAGGGGCTGGTGAGAAGACTCCACAGATAAAAATATTTGCTGCCAGGACTGAGGATCTGAATTTGGTCCCTAGGATGAAAGAAAAGAACTGATCGGGCAGAGGCAGGTCGATCTCGGTGAGATAGAGGCCGGCCTGGTCTACAGAGTGAGTTCCAGGACAGCCAGGACTACACAGAAAAATCCTGTCTTGAAAAACAAACAAATGTAGCACAGTAGTAGAAGTACTTTCCTTTTATATACAGAATCCCTAGTTCAAATCACCAACATCACAGAAAGGGAGAAAGAGGGAGGAATAGAAAAGAAATCAGACTTAGAATTCATATTTGCTTCTCTTTATAAATCTGGTCACTGTGTCCTAGTCCAAGACACATGTATATCACTTAAAAGTGTGTAAGAGCTATGTACACTTCTCAGGAGGAAAATCCACTGTTCATCAACTCAAAAGCATGTCCTCTGACAGTTATGATGACAAGCAATGTCTTTTTTGTCTTATTTGCTCACTTGATATCTATTTTTTTTCAGTTCATCCTTCTAATTAGTTCCTCTAATCTTCCATGATATGCATCCATGTGTTGCGTTTAGCTTTCTTGAACATTCTAAGGGCTCTAGATGCCTTTTGGGGGCTGGTGGAGAACTGAGGAGGTGAGTCAGGAGGAGTGGTCAGATAATGAACAGATGCACTCACATGTCAGCAGACTTGTAAGACAGGCAGGATGTCTCATTTAGCCCAGCACAACTTTGAACCAAGACTGGCCTTGAATTCCTATGTATGTGAAGTATGCACACATGTATGTGGATCCCTGTGCCCACGTGATGGTCAGAGTAGGATATTGAAGGGAGCAGGCAAAAGCACCTTGTTCTAAGCACAGCCATCTTGATTTCAAACTCCATTTACCTGTAGGGTGACAAAAGTTCAAGTTCCCAAGCCCTGGGGGAGCCCCAATAGATGACCAACCCTCTCCTCAAACAATAGAAATAATCTATTATGACCCTTAGTTCTCTAAAACATTATAGCTATTCCTAACAATGGAGAGAACAAATGAATCTGATTGGTTGGGCTGAAAAGCTTACATTCAGTATCTGTTGATATGATGGAACATACAAAGAAAGCCCCTAATTCCTGAATCCTGATTGGTGAAAATTATAACTTTAACTTGGCAACAAATATTTGTGATTTTTGCTCATATAAATCCCACTTCTGCCCCTGCTTAGGGCTTTCAGGAAAAGCAAGACTCCTGAGTCCCTATCATGCAGCCCTGATGGATCAGTCACCCACTTATGTGGTGATTTATTGAAATCCTTGGGACCCATAAGAATTGCCTCTCTCCCTCCTGGTGGTGCACAACAGACTAGGTGTGATAATGTCAGGGGTCCTTCCCTATCATACCTCACCTTATTCCCTTAAGGCTGATTTTCTTGTTGACTCTGGAGCTAGGCTAGCAGCCATCAAGTCCCAGTCACCCTGAGGTTACAGGCACACACATCCTGATCTGGTTCTTTTGTTTGTTTTTGTTTTGTTTTGTTTTGTTTTTCAAGACAGGGTTTCTCTGTGTAGTTTTGGAGCCTATCCTGGCACTTGCTCTGAAGACCAGGCTGGCCTTGAACTCACAGAAATCTGCCTGCCTCAGCCTCCAGAGTGCTGGGATTAAAGGCATGTGCCACCATCGCTCGGCTTGATCTGGTTCTTCAAGGTGGTGGATTTAGAACTGGGGCCCTCCTCCTGGTTGTGTTATGAGTGCTCTTTCCTACTGAACCAACCGGGTTTAGGTTGTTTGAGATAGTCTCATGTAGTCCGGACTGGTCTCAAACTTGCTATATAGCCAAGATTGGCCTTAAACTCCTGATCCTCCTGTCTTAGCCTTCCAGGCACTGGGATTCTAGGTACCAGCCACTATTCCCATCTAAACTGTGCAGGTTGAGGGAAATGATTTTATTGTCTTTTGAGGCAAACTTCAGGAACAGGAGAACATTCTGGTAATGAACACTGAAAAGTCAGTGTTCAATCATGAAAACATACACAACACTTTAGCACTTTAGCATGTAATATTTGATACAGATGTGTTAATGCACGCCTTTAATCCCAGCATTCAGGAGGCAGAGGCAGACAGATGTCTGAGAATTCAAGTCAAGCCTTGTTTGTAGACATAATTTTCTTGCCAGCTCCCCAATATCTAAACTAAGACATTATTAATTATAAATGCTGGGTCAATAGCTTAGTATTATTTTTAACTAGTTTTTATAACTTGAATTAACCCATCTTTATTAATTTACTTGCTGCCATGGGGCTCATGACTTGTTACCTCATCTTATACATACATGCCCTGCTTCTTCTGCATCTGGCTGGTGACTTTGCCCTTCTTCATCCCAGGAGCTCTCTCCCTGTCAGAAAGTCCCACCTAACCTCTTCCTGCCTAGCTATTGACCATTTAGCTCTTTTTTAAACCAATGAGAGCAACATATCTTCACAGTCTACAAAAAGATTGTTCCACAACACTTGTCTACATAGTGAATTCCAGGATAACCAGTGCTATATTTTAAAACCCTGTTGGAGGTGGGGATATAATATTCAGGAGCTAGAGAGGTGGCTCAGAGAGTGTCTGTTATCCAAACCCAAACTGTGGCAAATGCACACTTGCACACATACACATGCACAATAAATATATTTTTAAAAAGCATTTTAACATTTTCTTTCCTCTTTTTTTTTTCTTTTTTGGTTTTTGGAGACAGGGTTTCTCTGTGGCTTTGGAGGCTGTCCTGGAACTAGCTCTTGTAGACCAGGCTGGTCTCAGACTCGCAGAGATCCACCTGCCTCTGCCTCCCGAGTGCTGGGACTAAAGGCGTGCGCCACCAATGCCCGGCTTAACAGTTTCTTTTAAAGAACTGAAGTAAAACCACAGAGTCTAGCCTCCTGAAATCAAGGAAGGAAAGAGGAATGGCTAGCACAATTTATTCCTAATTACTTTTGCCATGTTTATGTCCTTTTAGGGAAGGTTGAAACTTTTATTTTATTTTTTAAGACAAGTTCTTGGCCGGGCGGTGGTGGTGCACGCCTTTAATCCCAGCACTCGGGAGGCAGAGGTAGGCACATCTCTGTGAGTTCGAGACCAGCCTGGTCTACAAGAGCTAGTTCCAGGACAGCCTCCAAAGCCACAGAGAAACCCTGTCTCCAAAAACCAAAAAAAAAAAAAAGACAAGTTCTCTTTGGCTGTCCTAGAACTCATAATGAAGACTAGATTGGACTTGAACTCACAGAGATGCATCTTCCTTTGCCTGTGCTTCTTCCTCCCCAGTGCTGGGAATAAAGGTATACACCACCACACCTAGCTAAGGCTGAACCATTATGTACTCCTAAATTCTTTTTTATTTTTTCCTCCTGGAGTTGAGGACCAAACCCAGGGCTTTGCACTTGCCAGGCAAAGGCTCTGCTCCTGAGCTAAATCCCCAACCTCAGTACTCCTAAATCCTTAGTAGTCACCTCCCTCTGTCTCATCATTGAGTCATACATTTCCTTCTGTTGACACTTTGGAGGCAAACACTCTCTTACTCAGAGAACAACCACCCCAAGGAAACTACACCACATCCATTCCAAAATGGTTGTGAAGGGACCAGACACTCACTTGACCCCTGCTTTAGCAGCCATGACAGGCTATAGAGAAGACACGTAGGCCTCTGACACAAGGAAACTCCAGATCTTCTGGCCTCCCAGAGCCTAGGGCCAGGAGTTTCACTCAAAGAAACTCCAGACCCCACTAGCCTCCTAGATACTTGGTTTCTGTGAACTGTTGGCCACAAAAGAAACTCCAGGGGAGACCAAAACCTTCCCTGTAGTCTCCAGGATACAGTTCTGAAAACTATTGGTTTCTATGAACAATAGGCCACCTACAAGTAACAAGACAAAGCTATAGAAACCACAGAATGTTCCCTCTCAGCACTGACCAATGAGAATAATTGGTACACAGGTATTTCATGTCAAAATATGACTGAGAAATTCTCCTAATTGTTCCCAAATGTCAACCAATCAGAAACCAACCCGTACCTACTAAAGTAACTTTTGTCTTTAAAACCTAGCAGTAGAAGAAGCCAAATAAAGAAAAGGCTCCAGTTTTGCAGCATGGAACTGAGAACTCTCTAAAGATGAAAAAACAAAAACAAAAAACCAAAAAACTAGCAGTAGATAGGGAACTTCGCTTCCTCTTGAGGCTGTTGCATCAGCTAGTCAGACAGGGTCCTTTTCATGGTTGGATAAATAATAAAACCTTGCTTTTACAGTTCAGTGGGTCTGTCTCCCTGGTGGTCTTTGGGGATCTTTGAGACTTGGGCACAACACTTGTTTTAGTGCAGTATTTATTTATTTATTTATTTATTATTGGTTTTTCAAGACAGGGTTTCTCTGTAGCTTTGGAGGCTGTCCTGGAACTCACTCAGTAGACCAGGCTGACCTTGAACTCACAGAGCTCTGCCTGCTTCTGCCTCCCGAGTGCTGGGATTAAAAGCATGAGCCACCAGCGCTTGGTCCCTTTATTTTCATCTTATGCATATGGGTGTTTTGACTGTATGCATGTGTATGTATCATGTGTATACAGTGCCCAGAGAGGTTGTTGGGTCCCCTGTGACTGGACTTAAGGATCCTGTGAAAGAGCAGCCATTCTCTCCAGCTCCTTATTACATGTTTTACTATATTTATTTACTTATTTACATATGCAGATAAGCACCATGACATGCATGTGAAGGTCAGAGGACAGCCTTTCCAGAATTAAGATGTATGTTTGGAGCCGGGGGATGGGGGCTGGAGAGATGACCCAATGGTTAAGAGCCCTGATTGCTCCTGCATCAGACCTGGAGGAAGGAGAAGTGAAGGCCAGCCCAAGCTACATAGTAAAACCCTATTTCAAAATGGATAAACAAGGGGCTAGAGAGATGGCTCAGAGGTTAAGAGCACTGACTGCTCTTCCAGAGGTCATGAGTTCAATTCCCAGCAACCACATGGTGGCTCACAACCATCCATTATGAGATCTGGTGCCCTCTTCTGGTGTGCAGATATACATGGAAGCAAAATGTTGTATACATAATAAATAAATAAAATCTTAAAAAGATTTTAAGATCTTTTTAAGGGGTTGGGGGATGGAGGTTAGGGTGGCATACACCCTTAATCCTAGCACTTGGGAGGCAGAGGCAGGTGGATCTCTGCAAATTTGAAGCCAGCCTGCTCTACAGAGAGGGTTCCAGGAGAGCCAGGGTTACACAGAGAAATCCTGTCTCAAAAAAAAAAAAAAAAAAAAAAAAACAAACTGAAAACAACAACAAAAGACCAACTTTCTCCCATGTTGAAATAATAGTAGTAGTAAGTACTCACATAATAGATCAGCAAATGCTAACGTTGGAGAATACAGCCAGGCAGTCGTGTCCCAGGCCTTTAATCCCAGCACTCGGGAGCAAGAGGCAGGCAGAGCTTTGTGAGTTCGAGGCCAGCCTGGTCTCCAGAGCGAGTGCCAGGATAGGCTCCAAAGCTACACAGAGAAACCCTGTCTCGAAAAACAAAAACAAACTAAGTACTGGGCTCTTTCTTGTTGTTTTCTTGAAGGGACCTCAGGCACCGCATAAAATGCATCTACTATCTAATCCTGCACAGCCTTCCGCTAGCCCCACCCCTCCTAAAGGACTGCTTACTTGTTATTGGTTCCTCTGGCCGCTGTGGGTTGCCGTGGAGACTCGGCGCTGCGGCCTGCGCTCATGGCGTTGTACCAGCTCTTCTCCCATCCGGCCGAGCGCGGCTACCGCGCGGGGCTCTGCTCCAAGGCCGCGCTCTTCCTGCTGCTGGCCACCGTGCTCACCTACATCCCCCCTCTGCTAGTGGCCTTCAGAAGCCACGGTGAGCCTGCCCGGGCTTGAAGAGCCACATGGCTCGGTGCGGCCCGCTGGCCCAGGCCGGCTTTCCTGACCTGGCTCCCCAACCCGCCTTGTCTCCCGCAGGGTTTTGGCTGAAGCGGAGCAGCTACGAGGAGCAGCCTAGCGTGCGCTTCCAGCACCAGGTGCTACTCGTGGCCCTACTGGGGCCCGAGCCCGGAGCCTTCCTCGCCTGGAGCACGTTCCCCACCTTCAACCGGCTGCAGGGGGTTCACCTGCGAGTCCCGCTCGTGTCGGTGCGTGGTTCCCGCCGGGGTTCTGGGGAAC